CATTGCACACAAAACTATGAATGCGGAATTGATAAAGTTTGTCTCAGTATTTTTCCATTCTTTTCCAATTGAGATATTTCAACTACAAATGAGTTTAAAAATTCAATAAGATTAGAAAGTTTGTTATATCCAGCATATAATCTAATTAGAAAAGGTTTACTTGTGTAACTTGGTTGTTTTAATAAACCAAGTATTGGCCACAGCTGTAAACCAATGCTTTTAAATATAGCCAAACCATCAATATTGCATTGCATTGACAATTAAGAACAGCCTTATATATTTACAAAACTTTGTTCACTTTTAAACAACTTTTGCAAGAATGAAGCAATTCCAAAATGATGATATATACCACCACTATTTAATTTTTTATAACTCACATATCTTGGTGTTGACAATAAAGTCCTGGGGTCAAGGGGCAAAAAAGAATGATGTGGTTGAAGTATATGTAAGAGAGATTTTAATGATTTGTGAGAAATATTTTCTTCAGCCCATTGAACAAGATCATTAACAAGCAGTCCTTCATTACCATCATTGTCACTTTCATCAGTATCTGGAAAAATGTTCAGATTTCCGTTCCAGGTTATCAGTCACTCATTTGGAGATACACATTGTCATTCAATTCAGATGGGTGATTATTATCTATTTCATTATCATGTAAAACTTGGTTATTATCAAACACATCTGCAATTTTACTAGGTTTATCAAAATCATTTTCTTTTTCAAAATAGACTTCCTTATTTTTATCTGCATGAAATGTATAAGTGAGTTTACTGTTGCTTTGTTCAACTGATAAAGTATTATGCATTAGGTCATCATCTTTAGTTTTGGCACTTAAACTTTGAATGTCTTCCAAGTGTGCTTGAACTTTGGCACATTTACGATGCCATATGGAAGAATATGACTTCGATCTAATAAAATCCAAATATTTAACTTTATAAATTAGTGACTTAACTTTATAATAAGTTATATATATATATGTGGTTGGAATGTATATATAAATATACATTCCAATTATATTATAATTGGAATGTATATTTATATATACATTATTAATTATATATTATACAAAAGAAATTATTATCTAAATAAGGATGAGTTGAAACAAAGTTTCTTTAAATGATGAAAAAGTATGCAAAACGATATAGAAAAAAGCGTAAGTCTGTGCTGTTTGTGTCATTCAGTAGAATCTAGTATTGTTAGTAACCAGCCTAAAGGATTTATTTCTATAGTACACAAGTTAGCTCAGAAAACTGTGATAGATTTTACAAATATACATGAATTTATAACTGACTTTTGATTTTAAAAACAAGCCCAGGGGTATTTCAGCAACAAACATCTTCCACAACAACAAATTGGTAAACATAAAGTCAATAATATATTCATAGCATCTGTTTTACTTATATTGTTATTCATATTATGTATTATATTATCATTTTATTATCCAGCAGTTGAAAATTTTTTATTTGTCTTTTATAATCACTGATTATTTCACAGTTTGTAAATTTTGGACCCTAATACCAAAAACAACTGCTATGAAAACTCTTTTGAGGGGTGTTAGTACATATTATAGGGATCTCATAACAAGTAATTTTGAAATCAGGGATTACCGTCCGCAAGACTTATTTGACTTTATTAGTTTTATCTTAATGAAACGCTGTGACTTTTACTGAAAAATTTTTCTGACACAAGTTTACAAAACTTTTCTAAATATAACAAGTATCAAAAGGTTAAGAAAGTGTTACTTGATGGTATTTGGAGTATTTTAAAACACCAGTGTGATTTTTTTAAATTCTTATCACCAAAATAGTGTCAACAAAATTACGGCGATTGTTTTCCGGGAAAGGGCTGCATAAATATCATAGTTTTGAAAAAAAATTGTTGTTTGTTGATGTGCATCAAAAATGCCTAATTCAGCAAAAACCCATGATGATTTTCGAAAATCTGTGAAAGGAGACCAAGTTCTGACAGACTTTTTAAAGCAAAGGATTCAGCGCCTCATCAAGAATGATCTGAGCTTCAATGACTGCAGAGCTCCTCTTGCCTCATGTTAGACATGTGGTTTTAAACTAAAAAAGCTTGGAGATGGGGATCCTAAGACGTGTAAACCAAGATTGTACATGTTTGAAGACATCCAAATAAAACCAACAACTCGAAGTTCAAACACTTGTGATTGTTTGATCTGCCATATTGGGAGGCTCAAAGGTAAAGAAACTCACCCACTTGAGCAAAAAGACCAGCCTGCAACTACCAGTCAGCCACCTAAAAGTTCAGAAAAACATTGTACAAAATGTTTGTCTGTTCTCTCACGAAGCCTTTCTCATCATTGCACAATTGGTTCACGCCATGAAAACTTGAAGCAACTGGCATTGTCAGATCCTAAAGGAGCTGAACAAGTTGCATCTTCCATTGTTGCATCCAAGGAAGCATCTCCTGGAGGAACAATTCGAGTCAATTGAGTGGGATGCATCTTCCAATCAGAAAAGGTAAAATGTATACTTACCACATTCTTTTTTAGAGAATGCTAATAGATTTCGTTTTTTTAGACGGTGTTGTTGCTCAAGAGCTTTTTCCTTCCAGACTTTCAACAGGGGATATGGTTCAAATTCAACAGAATACAGGGTTGTCTAACAACGGAATGAGGAAACTTGGATCGTTCATCAATCATATCAGCCCAACAAGATTAGTTGAACCAAACTTTCAAAAAAAGTTTGCTGAGTCTGGACAAAAATTGCAGGACTTTTTTACTGTCAGCAGCTTGAAGATTTCGGATTCTGGAGAAAACAGGGTTGTGGTTCATTGCAAAAGCATTAAGGACTTGAAAGACAGGATTGAAGAAGAAATTGGCTCCTCAAAGACTGCCTTTGCAAAGATAGGTATTGATGGAGGAGGGTCATTCTTAAAAGTGAGCATTGGAGTTATTGATGAGGAAGAAAACAACCTAGAGCTCCACAGTCCTGTCCAAAAATCTGCCAAACTCACAACACAAGTCTCAAAGCAAACTAGTGTAAAAAAGCAATTTCTTGTGGCTGTTGCTGATGACACTCCTGAAAATTATTGGAATGTGCAAGAGATTTTTCAACTCATCAAGCTTCAAGAACTAATCCCATCAGAAGCTGCAGTAATTTCTTGCAATATGAAACTTGCAAATATTATTTGTGGCATCCAGTCTCATAGCAGCAACCACCCTAGCTGTTGGTGTGATATTGAGTCTTCAAAGCTTCTTCTGAGTGGGAATCCCCAATCCTTTGGAGCTATAAGAGCTCAACATCAAAGCTTTGTGGGTAGTGGCGGAGATGTAAGAAGATCCAAGGAGTTCCAAAATGCTGTCCACAGTCCTTTAATATTTGGTCCTGATCAAGCACTGATTTTGGAGTTCATCCCACCTATAGAGCTTCATCTTCTGCTAGGGGTGGTCAACCATCTGTTCAAATGCTTAGTGCAAAAATGGCCAAAGGCCACAGAATGGCCAACTTCATTGCACATCAAGATTCAGCCTTTTCATGGAGGGCACTTTAATGGCAATGACTGTATGAAGTTTCTGAGGAAAATTGACAAATTGGCTGAAATGGCTAAAAATGAGAGCACTTCTGAGCCATCTCAATTCATTCAGACATTCAAAAATTCACGAAGTTGTCTCTGCATGCTTTGGAAAAACTTTACATCCCAACTATGAGGAAAAAATCACCATATTCAAAAACAGTTACATGAGTTTGGGAATCTCTGTTACTCCAAAGGTTCACACTGTTTTCCACCATGTGACACAGTTCATCAAGCTGAAAAAGAAAAGCCTTGGTCTATACATTGAACAAGCCACTGAAGCACTGCATTCGGATTTTGGCAAGCATTGGGAGCAATACAAAAGATTGAACACCCATCCAGACTACTCCAGTCAACTCCTGAAGTGTGTCATTGATTATAACAGCAAGAAAATGTAGAGTAGCTTGCTATGAGGCACTGACCATCAATGAACATGTTGCATTTTTGTATTTATTTGTAATAAATAAATGTTTTGAGATTTATTTTTATCATTTGTTACCTTTTTACTTCATAATATGGTAATTTAGGGCAGCCAAATAATTTTTGAGGAATTTTGCAATTTTTCAGGTTTCGTATTTTAAAAGCAAAAACTTCAATGTTGAATAAGTCTTGCGGACGGTAATCCCAGATTTCGAAATTACTTGTTATGAGATCCCTATGATATGTACTAACACCCCTCGAAAAGGGTTTTCATAGGAGTTGTGTTTGGTATTAGGGTCCAAAATTTTCAAACTGTGATTTCATTCATCATAATTTTTTACCATTATATTGTTATAACAAATATGTATAGTTTTGATAGGATAAATTACAATATGTTATGGATGTGAAAATATGAACATTTATAATAAGATTTAAATAAATTTATAGTTTAAAGGTTTTTATTCAAAAATTTTTGTTTAACTCACTTTTATAATCTATTGTTTAAATAATGTATTGCAGACAAAACATACTTTAAATGTAATTTTAGTTTTTTTTTTTTTTTCAGTGAGTTTTTTCAAAAATGTTTAGAAAAATGTTTTTGTTTTTGTTTTTTTTATCAGTAAATGTTTCATTATTTAAATTTTTATCATTTAATTTTTTCAAAACTGTTCCCAAATAAAAAATAGAACTGGAATATAATTTTTTTGATGTAAACAGTTTTGGTAGAATGGTTTCACTTGCTAAACAGAGTTTTGCTGCTTGTTATTCTTTTGATGTAGAAGAATTTATAAAAAAGAAATTTAACAAATCTCAACAATTAAAAAATAAGTAAGAACAAGTTTTAACAGTTTATAGAAAGTGTTAATGAATAATGTATTTAGTATTCATTTATTAACATTTTTTATGAACTTTTCAAATAAAGTTTTAAAAGAATTTTTTCTACACTTCTACCTTTTCTAATTTTTTTTTCTAAAAGCTGTAAATCTTCTTTTTAAATATTGTAATGGTGGTTTTATTATTATTTGATATTTCTGATTTTTAAGGAAGACAACAACAGTTTTGAGATGGCTGATCAATCTTTGCTTTATTTATCTCAAAATGAACAGTCTTCAATCTCTTTTAAGAAACCTAAGGTATTTTTTTAATTTATATTGTTTCTTTGTAGATTAAGTTTTTAACAATTTTTAACTTTTTTATATTTAATTATAACTTTTTAATATTTGATTGTAAATAAATTATTCGTTGTATCAATGGCCCATCATTATGTCATTATAGTTGTATAATATTAACACAGACTTTAACAACCTTTGTTTTATGTCCTTTATCAATAACAATTTAATACAAGTTTAATACAAGTATAAACATGTTTTTTTATTTGATAAAGTTTTCCATTTTACTTAAATTTCTAACTTATTTTAATTACTAATGTTATATGTTATATTAAAGTATTGATAATATCAACAGCATATTTTTTTCTACTGAAAAATGTCCAATATAAAAAATGTCATCTCTGCTTGTTTTAGTTATTTTGCTTTTGTAAATTTTTGTTTTCTATCCTAGTGTTTGTTTTTCGTAAATAATCCTAGTGTTTGTTTTTCGTAATAATTTCCTGTGAATTGTAACCATTAAGATATACTTTCATATAGTCCATTTTATGCAAACCCTGTCTGGTTGATAATTCATCAGCAGAAGCCACAGAGGATGATGATAGTAATTTTAAGAATCAGGTATTTAGTTATCAATATCAGGTAATTTGTTTTCCATGTTTTCAGTTTAAATTGTTAAAAAATATTAAAGATAGTATATCAAAGATTTTATTTAAAAAAATTCGCTGAACTTATAAAACAAAAAATTGATTACAAAATAAAAAGTATGCTTACAACTATAAAAAGGCCTCAGAATGGAAAAAAAAACATTAATGCTAATGTGTAAACATAATTTGTATTTTGATTTAGTAATAAACATCTTCTCAGAGTTGCATCTATTATTACTGGTGTTTTGATGAGGATCAGCACTAATAACTAGTTCAGTCAAACAAACGTCATCACCACTTATGTTTTACCCTGCGACTTATGCCTAATCCATACTGCAGTAAAAAAGGACTAACTATAAATAGCCAAAACTTAACCATCCCCAAATTTGTACAGCATCAATTTTTTTTGATGATATGATATTAAAAGTGTAGATCTACTATACAACATAAATAACTAAATAAAAAATTTACCATACCACCAAAAGAAAACATGAAAACATAATAAATTAAAATTCTAATAGAAACATATAAATACAAATAAATTTCTTTTTAAGACATAAAACCAAATAGGTACTTTTAGCATAAACAAACTGAAGACAATCAGAAAGCAGTTAAACCTTATTAAAAATTTTTTTTTTTTAAAATGTAACCTGCTTTTTAATTAACATCCTTGCGATATTGCGTTGTTGTTTTTTTATGTCCCTTATCATAATTACAATTTAATACAAGTTTAATACGAGTATAAACATATTTATTTTTTTGATAAAGTTTTCCATTCTACTTAAATTTTTAACTAATTCTAATTACTAATGTTATGTATTATACTAAATTTTAATTTTTTTTTATTAAGTTTTTTTAAAAATTGTGTGTTCTCAAATAAGTTTTGTTATATCAATAAATATTCTTTTGTTTAAACTTTTTAATTTGTTAAAAGTGTTTCCTAATAAAAAATTGAATAAAAATTGAGTTTTTCAATTGTAAGCAATTTCAGTAGAATGGTTTCACTCTATTAACAGGTTTTTGTTGCTCGTTATAAACATTATTATTCTTTAAATGCAGAATTCAACAAATATTAAATATACAATTAAAAAACAAACAAACAAGTTTTAACAGTTTGTAAAAAGTGTTTATAAATAATATTCATAAACAATTTTTTTTGAATTTTTCAAAGAAAGTTTTGAAAGTATTTTTACTTCAGAATCTGATACTTTTTTACTTTTCAGAATCTGATATTGTGCAAGCTTTACCGGGAAGTGCGTGCACATTTGTTATTAAAATATAATTTTTCGAAACTGTTTACTTATAAAAGATAAAATTGAAAAATGATTTTTTGGTTGTAAACAGTTTTGATAGAATGGTTTTAGTATTAGTATTAGTAATTACTGTAACTGGTGTGAGCCAGTGAGTGTGGTATTAACACACAATGACAACCGATTTGCTTGATTGCTGCTCATCCAGCAATCAAGATCTGCTTTAAACCCTTTTAACTGATTGTGCTTTACCAACTTGCTTGGCAAGCTATTCCATAAATTGGCCAATCTATTAAATAAAAAGTTTTCACAACATGCTTGCTTAGTGATTTCTTTAATATATTTAAAGTTGTGACCTCTCGTTTGAGTTTGTTGAATACTAATTTTGTTGATTGTTTCCAAATCGTTAGCTTCTCATAGATGGTTTTTTTTTAATGATGGTATAAATCTAGTTGCACAATTTTTAATTCTTAATAATTTAACTCTTTCTAATAACTTGATTTCTCCATTTCAAATAGGTGACCAAACTTATACTGCAAACTCTATCAGTGGTCGCGCAAATGAAACATAAAGTATTCTAAGCAGTCTAATATCTAAACAAATTAAGCATTTTCTAATCCGACCCAACATTTGGTTGGCTTTACCTACACATTTTATTACATGATTTTTCCTTTTCAGACTGCTTGAGAAGATTACTCCAAGTTGACTTTCAGATTCTGTTATGCTTAAATTTTGTTCATTCATGATTTTTTATTATTTCGGCCAAAGTGCATGACCGTTTATTTCAAAATATTTAATTTCACAAACCAGTTGATGCACTGGAAAGCACCAAAAAAACAACATCAACAGGTTTACCATTCTCTAAGGCAGTTGAAATAAAATCAAGTGTTTCAAGTAGATTCGTTAAGCATCATTTATTTTTAACAAAACTGTGCTGTTGATTGACTATTGGTTTGAACTTATATAGAAAAGTTTCAAGTTTACATCTGATTATACCTTCCATGATTTTACGTGCAATTGAGGTGAGTGATACTGGTCGGTAGTTTCCTGCTAAGGTTTTTTCGCCTTTTTTGTATAGAGGAGTGATATTTGCTGATCTAAATTATATTGGCAGTTTACTGGTTTTAAATGACTCTTTAAAAATATACGTAAGTGGAATGGCAAACGTAAGTGGAATGGTAAGGCTCATGCAAATATACGTAAGTGGAATGGCATACGTAAGTGGAATGGCAAGGTTCATGCACAATTCTTTAAAATAGCTGAATGTAAATTATCAACATTACTTGATTTTTTATATTTTAAGTTTTTTAATCTTAGATAGACATCCTCATATGTAAAATCTTCATTTGGTATAATGAATGTTTCAGTAGTTCTTAAATCAAAAGAAGGCTGTAGACCATCATCATCTTTTAATTGGTGTAAAATGATTACATGCCACCTCCATATAATAAATCAGTTCATCAAGCATTTCTTGTACATTTTTGTTACTGAATTTTTGTATCCAGTCAACATTTGAAATTAGATCAGATATTAGTTCAAAATTTGAATAAGCATACATAAATCTTTGCTTACTTTTATTGTCACGAATTGCTTTATCAGACAAAATGAAACTGAAACATATTATTAGATGGCCTCTGGTTATGTTTCCCAAAACAAATTTTGAATCTATTGCATTAACACTTGCTGACTGAGTTGTAAAGATTAAATCTAAGTTATTCCCAATTTGTTCATCTGACAGCTAGAAAATTGATATCCAATTCAATTCTCATTTGAAATTGCATCAACAGTCATTTGACGAGTTGATTGATGGGAAATTGAAGTTGCCTATGATAAGTAAGTCTTTGAATTTATTTTTGTCTATATATTTGTGTGCCAGACCAAAAACCACTTCAAATTAAGTAAATACTTGTCATTATCAAAATATAACAACTGGCCGCAGTTGTTATAATTTACAGGGATTTAGAACAGCATCATTTAGTTCATAGGAGTCTAATGAGTTGTCTATTTATAAACAAAAAACACCCTATTTTTGTCTGTTTGATCTGTCTTTTCTATACAGATGGTAACCTTCAATGTTTACAACTGAAACACTTTTAAACCATGTCTCAGTCACAGAAATTACATTTGGTTTGTATTGTTCAATTAGCATTTTGTACTCATTTAACTTGTTATCGAAAGAGGTAGCATTTAGGTATAAACATGACAGCTTTTTAATTTCATTGCAATCTGATACTGAATTATGTAAAAATTTATTGATCTGATTTCTTTTTGAGTTTGATGATCTTATTGCCACGGATGCCATACCAAAAGGGGTCATTGTCTGTTCTTGCTTGATTCATTTTATTTTTGAGGTTAAGTTTGAGTTCTGAGGTTGTTTTTGAGTTCTGAAGTCTTGGAGTCTCTGAGCCTCAGTTAAATCTAGACTAAGATATAAATCTTTGTGTGCGACATTAGTTCTCAATATTTTAGCTGATGCTAATTTTGTGTTGCAAAGAATATCCTCAGCTTTTTATCCATTCAACAAGAATTGGACCTGATTTATTAGTTCTAGAACTCAACGGTCTAAGAAAATTTTGGTATTACATTTTCTTGATTTATGAACTTAAAAATTTCATTTGCTTTTGACTCCTCTTCTTTTGATTTTGTTTCTATACTTTCTTTAGTTGATTTAGCTACTCCATAAATAATGACATTTTTTTCTCTTCTTTTTCTTTTGAGTAACACATTAATGACTACATTTGTTACCATCAGCTGCTCTGTAAGCTTCTTTTTTTATATTTTCATCATTTTCAGTTTTTGTTGTTCCAAAAAAAGTGTTAAAAAGCTGGCTACACCAATTATGAATATCCTTAGTTGTTTGCGAGTGTGAACTGGCACTTAATTTTGGCCAATTATCCAGTCTAGGAAAATCTAAATTCATTCCTTAAATGATATTGTCTACTCTCTTGATTAGAGGACTACCTTCCTGAATAACAGTTGATTACCTCTTGTTAATTAAACTTATTACACAGGGAGTTATTCACACAATAAAATAGAATTTGTTAATGTGTTTTTTTCTGTGGTTTCACTCATTAAACAGATTTTTGCTGTTCTTTATTAACAATATTCTTTAAATGCAGAAGTTTAGGCAAAAAAGAATTTCTGGAAATACTGTTGAAATACCTAATTACAGACATTTTGAAAAAAAAATTAAATAATTTACTTGTTACAACCCTTGGAATTAGAAAAAATGAGGTCGGCAAAAATTATTTGATACAAAGGTCTGACCATAAAACATAGAAATGAAGTCGGCAATTTTTTGCTGACTTCAAACACTTTTAGGTCAGCACTTAGTTCCTAATTTCGAGGGTTGCTAGTTGCCAACCCTAATTTCGAGGGTTGCTTGTTATAATGAGTTTTAAAAAAATAAAAACACTAAAATATGTATTATGGGCAAACCAAAAAAAATAAAATAAAATAATTTTTTTAAGTTTTAGTTTCAAAAAATTTAAGTTATTAAAAAACTTGTTTTTATCCGGAATTAGGCTACTGTGAACCTAAATCAGGATAAATACAAAATAGAAAAAACACACACATAAACTCTTATTAGAAAAATTGTTATAAATACTTATTTAAATGGAATTGTTTTAAATTATGTTATGTCAAAAAAATGTTCTTTTGGCATTCCATGCATATACATTACATAGTAGAATGATCATCAATTTTACAAGCGACCCCATACCAACTAGCACACTGTTTGCATGTAAGCCATAGAGCATCTATGCTACTAACCCAATCAAAACCACAAGAATAACATTAACAAGCAGGTTCTTCTATTGGAATAAAGTTTTCTGAGCCTTGAATCTTTTTTTATGTTATTTGATTGTTTTAGATGGCTGACTTGCTTTTAAAAGTTTTTTTTTCGTTTCCTTTTTTTTGCCACTTTTTTCAGTTTTTTTTTTGTTTTTTTTTGTTTTTAGTTTTTTTGTTTTTGTTTTTTTGTTTTGTAGTTTTTAAAGAAGAAATTTTTGATTGATCTATTGGAAATAAACTACTACGAGCGCTTTCAAATTTAAAAGAATTTTTTTGATAATATCCTCAAACATAGCAGGAAATTGTCTATTTGTTAACAATTGACATTTATTTCTAGTCAAAGAATTATTTACTCTTCGCTTCTTTTACCTTTAACTGTTTTAAATACACCTATGTCTAAAGGCTTTCATAAATACATAGTATGAGCAGATAAGCACCAAAATGTATAATATTATTTTCAAAAGCCACTTTTTTTAATTCTAAACTAATATGTGGGGCATGGCCATCAAGAAAGAGCAATTTAATAAGTTTAAACCTTTTAAGTTTATTTGCAAAAGGCAAAAAATCTGACTTAAACCCCTCAAGAAATTGTTTTGACTCAATTTGATTCACTATTATTATAATAAATATTTTCAGTGCCATCTATGAACCAGCTTTTCATAATATGTTTTCTTTTGTAAGTTACTTGATGCAAATAATTTCCACAAACATGTCAAAAATATGTCAAAATAGTTGTCATTTTTTTGTTAATCGACCCAATCAAAGGTGAATTCTTAAACTCTTTTTAAACAACTTTGTTGTAATATTTCAAGAAAACAAATTGTGGTTTGCAAACTGCTGTAACTTTCAACAAAAAAAAGTCTTTAGAAAGAAGCTCAATACTTTGCATTTAGAGCAAATTTTTTTGGATTTCTGGTATCTTTTCTGCATACAATTTTAACTTTTTCTTGGTCGAATTGTAATCCAGACTCATCACAATTAAAAATATGAAATGACTTATTATTGAGATTATGCTCAAAATAGATGGCACCTACTCAGTAAAACCAGTCATCAATTATGATAATGGATACAGGTAATGATAATTACCTATATCCAGAATTAGGTTTTTTTTTTCCTGCTTATTTCTGTTTTATTTTGAATTTAAATATAGAAATTATAACAATATTGCAATTTTTTTATTATTTATTAATTTTCAATAATATTTTTCAGCATCAAATTTAGCACAAAATAGTGCTTATACAATTTTAATTTTATTTTTAAAAATATATATATATTTTTTCTTTTTCTTAGTTAATTTAATTTTGTTAGATTTCAAGTTCAAACAAAAGGAACTAAATGATTTTAAATGAAATTAATATGATCTAGTGTAAAATAGACAAAAAATCAATGTGCCAAAGTTCTATCTCCAGGTTAAGTTAACTAATATTTAGTTTGACAAGTTTCCAACTAACAGATTAGGGTAATTACAGACTATTCCAAAATTAATTGCAGACTATTCCAAACTTTTATCAGTTAAATATATTATTATAGTGAATTTCATGTTTATCAAAAGTCGTATAAAAAATTGGTCTCATTATCAACGTATAGTGTTCAAGTTTGATGTTGGTGTAAAAAAAATATCTTAAAAACACTAATATTTTCTATTTTTTCTAACGTTACATTGTGCAGCGAAAAATACTGGTTTCTATCAGCATTGAAGTAAATATTAAAAACATAAATAAATGGCTTTTCAAAGGTAAAACTCTTTTTTAAGATTTAATTATGACAATTCAGTTTTCTCTCAAACTTACCATTAGTTGATGTAAGTACATTTTTCTGAGCATATCTTTAACTATCAGTCAATGTAAGGATGTTTAACTGTGTCTCGCTCTAATAGACAGTCATGCACATTTATTACCAATCACCTATCTGTAACAGTCAGTTATTGATTCTATTATTTTAAATATAGTTGATGAACAAAATAATATAATTTTTATTTACTAAATTATATACATAAGTAATATTTAAAAAAATTGAACAATTTGTAATAAAATGTTTATTAACAATGTTAAAAAGCAGGTTACAGAATAAAAAGAAGATTGCTGTCCATCGAGGACAACTTTTATACTATGATTGGAAAGAAAGGATTCAATAATCTTAAAATGTTGATCAGAAAGTATGTTATTAGATTCAAGATGAGAGATTAAGTTTTTTTTAATTAAAGATTCAAAAACCTTCCTTATGATAGGAAGATGGCTAATGGAATGGTAGTTAGACGAGTCAGATCGCTCACCAGAATTTTTGAAATTAGGGATAACATGTATAAGGATAACAGCAGGCTGGAAAACAAGACTCTGAAAAGCACTTGTTGAATAGTTTTAAAAGTATAGACGACAGCTCTGGAGAACACTTCTGCAAGACTATAACAGATATGTTGTTTGGGCCACAAGCTGTAGAAAAGTCTAATCTGGAAATCACCTTAGATACAGCAGCTGGAGTGATATGAATGTCAAGCAATGGATCAACCTGCTTGAAAGCTGTATCAGATAGAACACAACTAGTGGAATCAAGAGATAGTATTGATAAAAAGTTTTTAGCAAACAAATCAGCTTTGTCTTTAGGTGAGGAGACATAGTCTGAACCATACTAGAGAGGTGGAATTACAGATTTGCCCTTATTATTGATACTATTAAAGATTCTCCAGAAGTCACGAGAGTCTAATTTTTGTGATGAGATACAAGATTTCATGACCTGAGAATAGCAGGCTTTGGCGTTAGACAAAATCTTTTTACAATGGTTTCTAGCAGTAATAAACAAACGTCTGTATTTTGGAGAATTGTTTTGATGATAGATATGGAAGTAATGGTTTCAATTGGCAATTGCAGCAGCACAATGTGAGGAAAACCATGGAGAAGAGTGAGGCTTGACTTGGAATTGCTGAGAGGGAATAAAAGATTTCATGCCATTACAAAGGGCTCCAAATGTGACCTTGGCAATGCACACCAAAAGTACAAACAGGGGCACCATTCATGCTCAACATGGCACTGTTAATACTTTGATATTTTTCTGCTGCTGATGGAGTCAGCCTCTCTGAAAGCTACAACAGAGTTCAAGAAACCTTACTACCAGCCAGCCTCAGAACCATAAAACTGAGTTTTAGAGCTGTACCCTCATTAGGAAATAATAGAATGAGTTGCCTAGTCATGAAAATAGAGACCCAAGCAAAACCCATGCATCGAGTCATGAAGTTCCAGCATTCAACATCCTAAACTGGAAACAATCTATTACAAATACATTTGATGTTGTGACTGTAATTGAATTAATGTTTATAGTTCTCATGTTCCATTGTGACCGTTGTTAAATAATGTTTTATTTTCATGATATTTCAGGATAGTAATGAAAGCTTTGAGACAATTTTGGTATAATAATTATACAGACTTTTGCTGTTATACAGACTTTTGCTGCTCTTTATTAACAATATTATTATTCAAATGCACAAGTTTAGACAAATAAGAAATTCAACAAATATCTTCAATAAAAGAAAAACTAACAAGTTGTAACAGTTTTTAAAAAGTGTATATAAATAATATATCCATAATATATTCATAAACATTTTTTTTAAACATTTTAATTAATAGTTTTAAAAGTATTTTTACTTTACTTCTACACTTTCAAAATCATTTTGACCATGGTTTCTTAATGTTTCATTTTCCTCATGATATTTTGACCATGGTTTCTTAATGTTTCATTTTCCTCATGATATTTTGACCATGGTTTCTTAATGTTTCATTTTCCTCATGATATTTTGACCATGGTTTCTTAATGTTTCATTTTCCTCATGATATTTTGACCATGGTTTCTTAATGTTTCATTTTCCTCATGATATTTTGACCATGGTTTCTTAATGTTTCATTTTCCTCATGATATTTTGACCATGGTTTCTTAATGTTTCATTTTCCTCATGATATTTTGACCATGGTTTCTTAATGTTTCATTTTCCTCATGATATTTTGACCATGGTTTCTTAATGTTTCATTTTCCTCATGATATTTTGACCATGGTTTCTTAATGTTTCATTTTCCTCATGATATTTTGACCATGGTTTCTTAATGTTTCATTTTCCTCATGATATTTTGACCATGGTTTCTTAATGTTTCATTTTCCTCATGATATTTTGACCATGGTTTCTTAATGTTTCATTTTCCTCATTTTTCAGGATGGCAAAGAGAACTTTAAGGCTGTTCAACCTTCGCTTGATTTGTTTGAAAAGAAAAAATCTTCTATCCCTTTGAAGGAAATTAAGGTACTTCTTTATTTATATTGTAATTATTGTATTATAATGTAATGTTTTTAATAATTGCAATTTTTTATTATTGTATTATTTTAAAAATGTAATTTTAGTTTTCAATAAAAATTGCAAGTTTAGCAATAAGTTTTGTTTTATTAATAAATGTTTTGACATTTAAGTGTTTACTAATAAGAAATTGAATTAGAATATAATTTTTTGGTAGTGAATAATTTTGCTATAATAGTTTATATTCAATATATAATATAGTATATAAATAATTTTGCTATAATAATAAATAATTTTGGTATAATGATTTCACGCGTTAAATAGATTTTTGCTGCTCTTTATTAACAATATATTTCTTCAAATGCAGAAGATTAAACAAAAAAGAAGTTTAAAAAATATCTTCAATAAAAGAAAACTATCAAGTTGTAACAGTTTTGAAAAGTGTATATAAATAATATATTCATAAAAAACCTTTTTTAAGCTTTTTAATCGAGAGTTTTAAAAGTATTTTTATTTTACTTTTATTTTTCTAAAATCTTTTATTGAAATATTTTGTGAACTTTGTTAAATTAATATTAGATTTTCCTGATTTTTCAGGATAGCAGAGAGAACTTTAAGGCTGTTCAACCTTTACTTGATTTGTCTGAAAAGAAAAAATCTTCCATCCCTTTGAGGAAACTTAAGGTACTTCTTTATTTATATTTATTCTTTGTATGTAAAGTTTTTAATGATTGTAATTTTTTGTTATTTTATTATTTAAAAATCGTAATTTTAGTTTTCAATAAAAATAGTTTTATTTATCAATAATGGTTTTAATATTTAAATTTTTATGATTTTTTTCTGAAAAGTGTTTACGAATAAAAATTGGAATGGGGTTAGAATTTTTGGTCGTAAACAATTTTGGTATAATGGTTTTACTCGTTACACAGACATTAGCTGCTCTTTATTAACAATATTGTTATTCAAATGCACAAGTTTAGACAACAACAAAAAATTTAACAAATATCTTCAATAAAAGAAAACTAACAAGTTGTAACAGTTTTGAAAAGTGTATATAAGTATTTAAGCTTTTTAATCAAGAGTTTTGAAAGTATTTTTACTTGACTTTTACTTTTCTAAAATCTTTTATTATGAACTTTGTTAAGTTAATATTAGGTTCTCCGGGTTTTTCAGGATAGCAGAGAGAGCTTTAAAACTGTTCAACCTTCACTTGAATTGTCTGAAAAGAAAAAATCTTCTATCCCTTTGAGGAAACTTAAGGTACTTCTTTATTTATATTTATTCTTTTTATGTAAAGTTTTTAATAATTGTAATTTTTTGTTATTTTATTATTTAAAAATCGTAATTTTAGTTTTCAGTAAAAATAGTTTTATTTATCAATAATGGTTTTAATATTTAAATTTTTATGATTTTTTTCTGAAAAGTGTTTACAAATAAAAATTGGAATGATGTTAGAATTTTTGGTCGTAAACAATTTTGGTATAATGGTTTTACTCGTTACACAGACATTAGCTGCTCTTAATTAACAATATTATTATTCAAATGCACAAGTTTAGACAAAAAAAAATAAATTAACAAATATCTTCAATAAAAAAAAACTAACAAGTTGTAACAGTTTTTAAAAAGTGTATATAAATAATATATCTATAAACATTTTTTTTGAACATTTCAATTTAAAGTTTTAAAGGCATTTTTACTTTACTTCTATGCCTTCAAAATCTGATATTTTAAACATGGTTTCTCAATGTTTCATTTTCCTGAATTTTTAGGATAGCAGAGAGAGCTTTAAGGCTGTTCAACCTTTGCTTGGTTTGTCTGAAAGGAAAAACTTTTCTATCCCTTTGAGGAAACTTAAGGTACTACATTATTTATATTTATTCTTTGTATGTAAAATTTTAATAATTGCAATTTTTTATTATTTTGAAAATGTAATTTTTTAATAAAAATTGTCTGTTTTTTTTTTGTATAATGGTTTCACTTGTTATACAAACTTTTGCTGCTCTTTATTAACAACTAGGGATGTACCGAAGCTTCGGCTTCGGCTTCAGCCAAAGCCTGGGTCAGATTTTGCCGAAGCATTGGGCGAATTTTATTTAGTTAATTAAAGGAAATAAGCTACTGTTATATTAAACATAAAATAATTGTATTGTTTACAATATAATTACTTTACATTACAAATCTATTTCTTGTAATTTGCTCCTTTACTTTTTTTCCTTGACATATGCCGTAGCATACATAGTATAAATTGCAACGTGCCACAAACTAACTATATTGTTATTTTTTTTTGTTTGCCTGCTTATCAAAATTAATGGGTGTTTTTTACATTTAATTTAAGTTCTATCTATAATTTTATTATGTTGTTGTATTTACTGAAAGCTATTTTCACTATAATTTGTATTTAGTTTTTTTGCGCCTGAAACGAATGCTAGAAAATTTATTTCTTATCACCACTAAAAAACATGATTCATTCATGGTTTTATAATTAAAGAAGCAGATAACCTACAAAAAATCAATGGCAGGATGCTAAAATAATTGTATGCATACTAAATCACTTTAAAAGCGAGACGAAAGGTAAGAGTGCAGACACATCAGAGATCATACCGTTTCCTAACTATGCTAGGGACAAATCAACTAAAATTAAAACTGTTGTTGATGAACTTGAAACTGAATTTAAAAGTCATTTTCATTAATACAAAGATAATGTTTGTCTGAAAGTTGAAATAATTCTTAAATCCCGTTTCAAATTAAATTTTTTAAAGAAACAAACCATAGTATGCTTCAAGAAATTTTATATCAAGGCTACTATCGCTTTTATTTAGAGAATGGATATTCTAAATGATAGCTGTAGTACCCTTATATATAATTTAAAATATAAAATTTGCTTGCTTGTTGTAAATGATCATTTACAACAAGCAAAAGAAGTTGATTTTGTTAAAGCCTCTGATCATGATGGTCAAATCAAAAATTAAATAAATATGCATGAGCATATAAGCTTTATATTGACATAAAAAATAAAAAATAATATGTGTATAGATGAGAATGCTTCACAGAAATGTGAAAACTCTGATGGATGGGAAATGTATAATAGTAAATACCCTAGTGGAAAAACTTAAAATTTAAAAGGAGAATGGTACTAATAATATATATCTTAATAAAATTGGTATTTTTTAAATTTAATTAAAAAATGATGTTAGCTTTGAAATTAATTATTTTGTTGCATATAGCCCTGTTACTAGAAATTTATTTACAAGTTTATTTGCACACCAGAATTGCCTGTAGACAAAATTATGTTATACTTATTTTATAGAAAGATAACTGCAAGCAGACAAAAGCTATATACAGGCCGTGTCTTTCTGTAGTTACGGGTGTGGTTGCATTTAATATTTTAAACTTTCAATGCACAACATAATTATTTATCAACTATAAATGTTTATTCTTTAATATTTATAAGTTGAATAAGGGTATTCTTTTTTCCTTACTTGAATAAAAATTTAAAATATAAGTTTAAATTTTAAATTGATTCATGGCTTTGATTTAACATGGAGGAAGTCAACTTCTACTTTAGCCTATCAACATTACCAAAGAATAAATGTCCAGATGAATAACGAATAAGTGGTGGGGTGTTTACAATTACACCAGCTTCTATAAAGACACTAATAATTGGAATTATATTAATAAGTGGAATTATATTAATAAGAATAAGTGGAATTATATTAATAAGAATAATAAGTAATAACTAATAAGTGGAATTATATTAATAAGAATAAGTGGAAAGATATTGTGCGCACCTCCGTTAAAAGTGAACCTCTGTTCAACACAACGGGAAACATATTTTAACCCAAAAGAAACAGTCTGTTGCCTGAGCATGGAGAACAGATTACGTTTTTGAATTATAATTTGCCTGATTTCTAACAATAGATAATTAATTTAAACACAATAAACTAATAAGTATGATAAAAATAACTTTCTTTATTTTTAGTTAGTAATTTTATAAATAGTAATTTTATTATACTTCAAGTACAAACGAAATGTAAACTGAAACATTGTTTATAATTTTAAAGTTTAGACTTGATTAAGTTGACAAGAAGCTAAATTAGTTTTATAATTTACACCCTAATTCAACTACTAATTAGTAATTATTAATTAGCTAGTAATCTTTTTTCCTTATAACATTAAACTTGTTCAAACAAGGCACAGCTACAACCAAAAATCCTATAATTTTGTGTAATTAAAAAAAACCTTTATGTTTTGTTATAGTAAAATACCTTCTGCGCTAAAATACTTATAATTGCGGTAGATATATTTTGCAATAGGTAGTACATAAAATAGTTGGAGTAAAATGTTAAAAAATTTTTTAAGCAATTATTCTTAAATAGCTAAATGTGCAAAACAACAAATTTTTACCTATATTTTACCAAAAGCTTTGGCTCCAGCTGAAGGTTCGGCTTCAGCAAAATCTTAACTTTGGTACATCTCTATTAACAACATTGTTATTCAAATGCTCATGTTTTGACAAAAAAAAACATTTAACAATCATTTTAATATTTAACAAATAATAAAAATCCTAGCGTTATATTAGTCGAACTTTAAAGCAAAGATGATTGCATTGCGGTAATTAAAACAGCAAAACAATTAAGAAAAAGTATTTACTTCAAAAATGTTTATATAATGATTTAACGCTATACTATGATTTAACGCTAACTCAACAACTTTTTTCAAGCAATTAATAGATGAACGTAATCGACTTAATAACAACTTAGATATTAAAAACATAAAAGATAATAGATATGAGATTCGGAATAACAACATCATCAAATTTTCAACAAGCAAAAGTTTATAATTATCCTGACTTAAACAATGTAAAACAATTTGTTAAGTTTACGATCTGTTAGATAAGTCTCTTAAAAGTTTTGAAAACAAATATTTCTCATTTAAAAACAAAGTGCCACTTATGCTAAAAAACAAATTTAAGCCAGACTTAAAATCTGATTTAACTTGTTTTTATACTAATGCCACTTCATTAAATAATGAAATAGATAAATTGGGTTACACCATTTAGGCAAATTTTCCAGATTTAATCTGCATTGCTGAAACATGGTTTAAAAACTTTCTGATACACTTATAGAAAATTATGTATTATATCGTTGTGATTGTAAAAATGGAAAAATCGGGGGAGGGGTTGCAAATTACATAAAAAATCAAATAAACTCATATGAAGTCACACTACCAACTATAATCTGTATAGATACCAAACAAGTTTAGACTTGTCTAAATTTTGGAATCGAAAAGATTTTAGTAGGTTGCATTTACAAGCTGCCAAATTCAAATGAACTTACTAATGAGAAAATTATAAATATTATAAAAAATGCCAAAAAATTTATTGAAAAAAAAATCTTTACAGATCTCATAATTACAGGTGATTTTAATTATAACACAATTAGATGGTTTTTAAACAAAGCATTACCAGTTGGTACTCGTGCCAAAAAATTTGTAAATTGTCTTGATAAATGTTTTTTAAACCAATGCATTGTAAATCCAACATTTCAAAGAGCCACTTGTCACGAAACAAATATACTAGACTTAATAATTGTAAATCATGCCAGTCAAATCAAGTCAAATGGATTCAACATAGAACTCCTTTAGGTAACAGAAATCAAGGTCATCACGTAATAACATGGCAATACATTATAAGTGAAAATTTTATAAGCAAGAATAACCTTTAAAAAAAATTTTAAATTGGGAAATTATCTTGAGATATCAAACTATATACACTCGATAGATTGGAATACTCTTTTCTTGAACAAAAATATAAATGATTGTTGCAAAATTTTCAATTACCATTACCAAACAGCTTGTAAAAAATTTATTCCATTAATAAAAATTAATCGTAATAACAGAAAAATATTTCTTAACAAAGAGATTATAAATGATATCAAAAAGAAAAATAAACTCTGGTCTATCAATAGGTTCTCTTTATGGACAGATAGTTTTAAAAATTTCCATTATAATAAAGCAAAAAGAGAAGTATATAATCAAGTTAAAAAAGCTACAATAGAGTACAAAAAATACATATCTAAAAAAAGCAAAATCAGATTCAAAACTGCTGCATAATTATATCAACAGAAAACGAAAAATTAAAATTTATTACAAATCAATTGAAGGTTCTAATTTGTGCATCATTACAGACCAAAAGCAGATTGCTGATACTTTAAATGAATATTTTCAATCAGTATTTATAGGAGATATAGATGATATTTTACTAAAATTAAAAAAAAAATATTTAAATTCACTTTAGTTTTTTAGTATTACCTCAACTGAAGTTATAAGTATTATAAATGTTATAAGCCCAAAAAAAGCAGTTGGACCAGATGGGATTTATCCTTTTGTATTAAAAGAATGTGTCAATGCTTTTTTTAATCTATTAACTTTATTATTTAACAAATCAATTTATGAAGGTGTAGTACCTATTTCATGGAAGACAGCAAACATAATGCCACTGTTTAAAAATGGCAGTAGAAATAAAGTTTCAAATTATAGGCCAGTTTCCTTGACTTCGATTCTTTGTAAAACTTTACAATGTTTAATATCTAACCAACTCTTACATTATTTAAAGATTAACAAATTATTATTTTCTAGTCAGCATGGTTTTACAAAAGGCAAAAGTTGCGCAACTAATCTCCTAGAGTACATGGATATAGTAACAACAGGTGTTAGTAAATCGTTTGATATCCTTTACACTGATTTCAAAAAAACTTTTTACAAAGTTTCACATAGGAGATTAGCACTAAAACGTGAAGCAAATGGCATTACATCTACATCATTGAAGTGGATAATTTCTTTTTTAACTGATAGGAAGAAAAGAGTTGTACTTGGAGAAAGTGTATCATCATGGGTAGACATAGTAAGCGGTGTACCACAAGGCTATGTTCTTGGTCCAATTTTATTTTTAATAAACATCAATAATCTTCCAAGTCAACTTACTAAGCATTTGTTGTTGTATGCAGATGATTGTATAGTATATAAAGTTAATAATGAAACGGATGCACATGCTTTACAAAATGACATTGCTATGTTAGAAAAATGCGTAATAAACTGGAAAATGCAATTCAATTTTGAAAAATGTAAAATCATGCATATTGGTAACAAAAATAAAAATAAATGTTTCATGACTAACAATAATATAAAGCAAGAATTAAGTACAACTAAATTGGGAAAGGATCTAGGTGTATTAATTTCGAATGACTTAAAATGGGAACCACAAATCAAAATTGCATCATCTATTGCAACTATAAATTTGGTATAATATGCAAATCATTTAAGTATAAAAATAGTGAACTAATAAAATTGTTGTATTGTAGTAATATACAGCTGCATCTAGAATTTGCAATACAGGTATGGAGTCCTCATCTTAAAAAAGATAAGTATATTAGAAAAAGTTCAAAAATGAGTGACAAAATCTGTACCTGAGCTATGTCATCTATCATACAATGAAAGACTAGAAAAATGAAATTAACATCTTTAAAACAAGGAAGAATATGAGGAGATATCATACAAATGTACAAATGGTATTATAATATAGAGAAAACAACTTGGAAAAAACTTGGAAACTCCCTTAAAATTCTTGCCCTTTAAACTCTTCTGGTCGGCGTTCAAACATTTGAGTCAATAAACATCGTTTATTCACCAATAAGAAATCCAAACCGTGAAAGTTTTTTTACAAATCGCACAGTCAAGTTTTAGAACAATTTACCAATTGAAACAGTGGAAGGTAAAAATCTCAACTTATTTAAAGCTAAACTAGACTATCTTTAACTTTCGTGTTATGTCTGTAAAAGATTTAACATGGCTCTCAAATCTCAACATTATTGTATATTATTATTATTATTATTACTATTATTATTAATATTATTATTATTACTATTATTGTTATTATTATTATTATTTATATTATTATCTTCAATAGAAAAAAAAAATAACAAGTTGTAACAGTTTTTCAAAAGTGTATATAAATAATAAATCCATAAACATTTTTTTTGAAAATTAAAATTATTTAAATTTCAATGAAGAGTTGTAAAAGTATTTTTATTTTACTTCTATGCTTTCTTTTTTCAGCATATTTTGGTTTTTTAATGTTTCATTTTCCTCATTTTTCAGGATGGCAGAGAAAGCTTTAAGGCTGTTCAACCTTCACTTGCTTTGTCGGAAAAGAAAAAATCTTCTATCCCTTTGAAGAAACTCAAGGTACTTCTTTATTTATTCTTTATTCTAGTAATAATTTTTTTTTTATTAATAAATGTTTTGACATTTAAGTTTTTATAATTTTTTTTGAAAAGTATTTACGAATAAAAAATTAAATTGGAATATAATTTTTTGGTAGTATATAATTTTGCTATAATAGCTTATATTTAATACATAATATAATATATAAATAATTTTGCTATAATAATAAATAATTTTGGTATAATGATTTCACGCGTTAAATAGATTTTTGCTGCTCTTTATTAACAATATATTCCTTCAAATGCAGAAGATTAAACAAAAAAGAAGTTTAAAAAATATCTTCAATAAAAAAAAACTAACAAGTTGTAACAGTTTTGAAAAGTGTATATAAATAATATATTCATAAATAACCTTTTTTAATCAAGAGTTTTGAAAGTATTTTTACTTGACTTTTACTTTTCTAAAATCTTTTATTGTGAACTTTGTTAAATTAATATTAGATTCTCCTGGCTTTTCAGGATAGCAGAGAGAGCTTTAAGACTGTTCAACCTTTGCTTGAATTGTCTGAAAAGAAAAAATCTTCTATCCCTTTGAGGAAACTTAAGGTACTTCTTTATTTATATTTATTCTTTGTATGTAAAGTTTTTAATAATTGCAATTTTTTATTATTTTATAATTTTAAAACGTAATTTTAGTTTTCAATAAAAATTGTCTGTTTAGTAAAAAGTTTTGTTTTATCAATGATGGTTTTATTATTTAAATTTTTATGATTTTTTTCTGAAAAGTGTTTACTAATAAAAAATGAAATAGGGTTAGAATTTTTTGGTTAAAGACAATTTTGGTATAATGGTTTCATTTGTTATACAGACATTTGCTGCTCTTTGTTAACAATATTATTATTCAAATGCACAAGTTTAGACAAAAAAAATTTAACAAATACCTTCAATAAAAAAAAACTAACAAGTTGTAACAGTTTTTAAAAAGAGTATATAAATAATATATCCATAAACATTTTCTTTTGAATATTTCAATTAAAAGTTTTGAAAGCATTTTTACTTTACTTCTATGCCTTCAAAATCTTGAAAATGAAACATCTGATATTTTGACCATGGTTAAGAAACCATGGTCAAAATATCAGATGTTTCATTTTCCTGAATTTTTAGGATGACAAAGAGAACTTTAAGGCTGTTCAACCTTTGCTTGATTTGTCTGAAAAGAAAAAATATTCTATCCCTTTGAAGGAATTCAAGATTTTGCCAAAGCCGAAGCTTTGGCCTAAGTTACTCTGCCGAAGCCAAAGCTTTTGGTAAAATATATGTAAAATTTGTTGTTTTGCAGATTTAGCTATCTAGGGATAATATTTATTGCTTAAAAAATTTTTTAACATTTTACTCCGATTATTTTATGTACTGCCTATTGCAAAATATATGTACTACAAATATATGTTATTTAGCGCCCAAGGTATTTTACTCTAACAAATCATAAATGTTTTTTTTAATTAGCTAGGTTTTTTTTAAAGTAGCTATGTCTTGTTTGAACAAGTTTAATGTTATAAGGAAAAAAGATTACTAGCTAATTAATAATTACTAATTAGTAGTTGAATTAGGGTGTAAATTATAAAACTAATTTAGCTTCTTGTCAACTTAATCGAGTCTAAACTTTAAAATTATATTATAAACGTTTCAGTTTACATTTTGTTTGTACTTTGAAGTATAATAAAATTACTATTTATAAAATTACAAATAAAAATAAAGAAAGTTATTTTTATCATACTTATTAGTTTATTGTGTTTAAATTAATTATCTATTGTTAGAAATCAGGCAAATTATAATTCAAAAACGTAATCTGTTCTCCATGCTCAGGCAACAGACTGTTTCTTTTGGGTTAAAATATGTTTCCCGTTGTGTTGAACAGAGGTTCACTTTTAACGGAGGTGCGCACAATATCTTCATTGAGAACCTTGCCGAATTCCACTTATTAGTGTCTTTATAGAAGCTCGTGTAATTGTAAACACCCCACCACTTATTCATTATTCATCCGGACATTTATTTTTTGGTAATATTGATAGGTTAAAGTAGAAGTTGACTTTTTCCATGTTAAATCAAAGCCATGAATCAATTTAAAATTTAATCTTATATTTTAAATTTTTATTCAAGTAAGGAAAAAAGAATACCCTTATTCAACTTATAAATATTAAAGAATAAACATTTATAGTTGATAAATAATTATGTTGTGCATTGAAAGTTTAAAATATTAAATGCAACCACACCCGTAACTACAGAAAGACATGGCCTGTATATAGCTTTTGTCTGCTTGCAGTTATCTTTCTTTTTTTTTTTTTATTTGTTATTTTAGGTGCCCCAAGAAGTCCTAACGTTCTTTTCACAGAGTACCACAGAAGTGCATTTAACCAGAAAGTTCACGCCTCCTTCCTTACCGTGACGCAAAAAATGTCCAAAGCTCGTTTCGAACCTGGATCTCCTGTTTGTAAAGCAAGCGCTTTACCCGCGGTGCAACAGCTGCACACTTTCTATAATATAAATGTAATATAATTTTGTCTACAGCCAATTCTGGTGTGCAAATAAACTTGTAAATAAATTTCTAGTAACAGGGCTGAATGCAATAAAATAATTGATTTAAAAGTTAACATCAATATTTAATTTAATTGGTAGTAAATTTAAAAAATACCAATTTTATTTAGATATATTTTATTTGTACCATTTTCCTTTTAAATTTTGAGTTTTTCCTCTAGGGTATTTACCATTTGATTTTTTAAGACAAACATCTTTGTATCAATGAAAATGACTTTAAAAATTTTTTAAGTTCATCAACAGTTTTGATTCCAGTTGATTTGTCCCAAGCATAGTCAAGAAACGGTATGATATGTGTCTGCACTCTTACCTTTTGTCTCACTTTTAAAGTGTTTTAGTATGCATACAGTTATTTCAGCATGCTGTCATTGATTTTCTGTAGGTTATCTGCTTCTTTAATTATAAAACCATGAATGAATCATGTTTTTGAGTGGTGATAAGAAATAATTTTTCTAGTGTACGTTTCAAGCGCAAAAAAACTAAATACAAATTATAGTGAAAATAGCTTTCAGTAAATACAACAACGGAGTAAAATTCTAGATAGAACTTAAATTTAATATATAAAAAACACCCATTAATTTTGATAAGCAGCCAAACAAAAAAAGTTAACATTGTTGTTAGTTTGCGGCACGTCGCAATTTATACTATGTATGCTGTGGCATACGTCAAGGAATCAAAGTAAAGGAGCAAATTACAAGTAGCAGAATGGTAATGTAAAGTAATTATATTGTAAGCAATAAAATTATTTTATGTTTAATATAACAGTAGTTTATTTCCGTTAATTACCTAAATAAAATTTGCCAAAGCTGATGCTTTGGCAAAAACTGACCCTAGCTTCAGCTGAAGCCAAAGCTTCGGCATGCCGAAGCCAAAGTTTCGGTGCATCACTAATTATAATGTAATGTTTTGAAATATTGCACTTTTTTATTATTGTATTATTTTTAAAATGTAATTTTAGTTTTCAATAAAAATTGTCTGTTTAGTAATAAGTTTTGTTTTTTTAATAAATGTTTTGACGTTTAAGTTTTTATCATTTTTTTTGAAATGTGTTTACTAACAAAAAATGGAATAGGAATAGAATATTTTGGTTGTAAACAATTTTGTATAGTGGTTTCACTCGTTGTACAGACTTTTGCTGCTCTTTATTAACAATATTGTTATTCAAATGCACAAGTTTAGACAACAAAAAAAATTTAACAAATATCTTCAATAAAAGAAAACTAACAAGTTCTAACAGTTTTGAAAAGTGTATATAAGTATTTAAGCTTTTTAATCAAGAGTTTTGAAAATATTTTTACTTGACTTTTACTTTTCTAAAATCTTTTATTATGAACTTTGTTAAGTTAATATTAGATTCTCCTGGTTTTTCAGGATAGCAGAGAGAGCTTTAAAACTGTTCAACCTTCACTTGAATTATCTGAAAAGAAACAATCTTCTATCCCTTTGAGGAAACTTAAGGTACTTCTTTATTTATATTTATTCTTTGTATGTAAAGTTTTTAATAATTGCAACTTTTTATTGTTTTATTATTTTAAAAACTTAATTTTAGTTTTCAATAAAAATTGTCTGTTTAGAAATAAGTTTTGTTTTATCATTAATGGTTTTAATATTTAAATTTTTATGATTTTTTTCTGAAAAGTGTTTACTTACAAAAAATGGAATGGGAATAGAATATTTTGGTTGTAAACAATTTTGGTATAATGGTTTCACTCGTTGTACAGACTTTTGCTGCTCTTTATTAACAATATTATTATTCAAATGCACAAGTTTAGACAAAAAAAAATTTATCAAAAATCTTCAATAAAAGAAAAACTAACAAGTTGTAACAGTTTTGAAAAGTGTATATAAATAATATATTCATAAAAAACCTTTTTTAAGCTTTTTAATTGAGAGTTTTGAAAGTATTTTCACTTTACTTTTACTTTTTTAAAGTCTTTTATTGTGAACTTTGTTAAATTAATATTAGATTTGCCTGATTTTTCAGGATAGCAAAGAGAACTTTAAGGCTGTTCAACCTTCGCTTGATTTGTCTGAAAAGAAAAAAAATTCTATCCCTTTGAAGGAATTCAAGGTACTTCTTTATTCATATTGTAATTATTGTATTATAATGCAATGTTTTTAATAATTGCAATTTTTTATTATTTTATTATTTTAAAAATGTAATTTTAGTTTTCAATAAAAATTGTCTGTTTTGTAATAAGTTTTCTTTTATTAATAAATGTTTTGACATTTAAGTTTTTATAATTTTTTTTTAAAAGTGTTTACTAATAAGAAATTGAATTGGAATATAATTTTTTGGTAGTAATTAATTTTGCTATAATAGTTTATATTTAATACATAATATAATATATAAATAATTTTGCTATAATAATAAATAATTTTGGTATAATGATTTCACGCGTTAAATAGATTTTTGCTGCTCTTTATTAACAATATATTTCTTCAAATGCAGAAGATTAAACAAAAAAGAAGTTTAAAAAATATCTTCAATAAAAAAAAACTAACAAGTTGTAACAGTTTTGAAAAGTGTATATAAATAATATATTCATAAAAAACCTTTTTTAAGCTTTTTAATCGAGAGTTTTAAAAGTATTTTTATTTTACTTTTACTTTTTCTAAAATCTTTTATTGTGAACTTTGTTAAATTATTTAAAAACTTTGGCATATAAAATTCGCCGAATGGTCACACACGAGCAGTGAACGCCTGAGGGAAGAAATGAAGTACATTAGAATAAAGGAGAATTATTTATTAGACAAAGCATTTTTGACAGTTGTCAAGACAAAAATAAAGATTAATAGAGGAATATTTAAAAATAAATAAGACAAGCTATACAACCAAAACAGTACTCAAACATAATAACAATAAAAAAAAAAAAAAAATAAAAAAAAAAAATAAAAATAAAAATAAAAATAAAAACAAATAATAATAAAATATATATATATATAAATAAATAAAAAAAAAATTGTTTTATAAATACCAATATGAACTAAAATATACAAGAAGTACATAACCAGTCAAAAATTTGTAAAACAAAAAACTATTCAACAAATTAAAAATATGCTAACGACAATGAAAGGACTAATAATGGAAAAAAAACATTAATGCTAATGTGTAAACATAATTAGTGTAGTGATAAGTAATAAACATCTCCTCAGAGTCGCGTCTATTATTACTGGCGTTTCGATGAGGATCAGCATTTATAACTAGTTTATCCCGTCAGACAAACGTCATTGCCACTTATGCTTTACCCCGCGACTTACGCCTATTCCATACTGCAGTAAAAAAGGACTCACTACAAATAGCCAAAACCCAACCAACCCCAAATTTGTAAAGCACCAATATTTCTTTTGATGATATGGTATAAACAGTATAGAATTACTGAACAAACAAAAATAAAAATAAATTAAAAAAAAAAATTAAAATAAAAAACTTACCATACCACCAAAAGAACACATGAAAACAAAATAAATTAAAATTCTAATAGAAACATAAAAATATTAATCAATTTATTTTAAGAAATAAAACCAAATAGGTATTATTATCAGAAAGTAGTATACCTCATTAGAAAAAATTTTTTAATCAACAAAACAACAATAGCCTTAAATAAACTCTAACGCTGTCATAGATACCTCATTCGAAATATGATAACCAATCAAAAGCGTAGGAAAATGAGTAACCCGCGAAACCCAAAATCATAACAATAATAGAATAATATATGATAGCGAAAAAGAACGTTGCACAAAAACCTTAAAAATGTAAGCGACATATATGTAAACATTAAATGAAGGATATTAAAAATATTCTCTGAATAATAGTAAAGATGAAAATTGTGCATGTGAAAAATAAAACAAAGCTGAGTAATGAATTCAAGATAATATAACATGAAAGTTTCTGTAAACAGTAATAATATGAAAATCAGGAGATAAGTAATATATTAATAAATATAGCAATAAGACTAACTAAATATTGTAATAAAACCAGGTAATTTTAAGCCAAATGAGTGGTTAAAAAATTAGTTGTAGGTTATATAACAATGATATAAATCGTGATATAAAAACGATGAAGAAAGCGGGAAAAAAAAAAATTGTTAAGAAAAGAAGTTTTCTCTACGGTCCGAACTAAAAGAAACTTTGAGACCATATCTAAATCGAAATTTCCGAAAAGTAAAGTTTTCTCTACGGTCCGAATTAAAAGTAACTTTGAGACCATATCTAAATCGAAATTTCCGAAAAATAAAGTTTTCTCTACGGTCCGAATTAAATGTAACTTTGAGACCATAACAAAATAACAAGGAAAAAGATACTTCATAAAAACAAGTCGAAAGCCGCTAGTTTATAAGAATCGCTCTTATGCTTATATGTATATGCATATGAATCCTTTAATGAAAAATTCAATCACACACGATAAACATATATAGATAACATATAAATCTGTATCTACAATTCAAAAACATATCTATTAAAAGAAAATATTATCTAAATAAGGATGAGTTCAAACAAAGATAGTTTATCTATGAAAGAACAAAAAGCATGCAAAAGATGTAAACAGGCTGTATGTGCATAAGGGTGTATAGGTGTAATGTGTAAGTCTGTGCTGTTTATGTTGTTAATACAAATAAATTGTTTAAATATTATCTCTGTACCTAATTTGCTGAAAAATAAAAAACTGTCAATAGTAACTTTGAGACCATATCTAAATCGAAATTTCCGAAAAATAAAGTTTTCTCTACGGTCCGAATTAAATGTAACTTTGAGACCATAACAAAATAACAAGGAAAAAGATACTTCATAAAAACAAGTCGAAAGCCGCTAGTTTATAAGAATCACTCTTATGCTTATATGTATATGCATATGAATCCTTTAATGAAAAATTCAATCACACACGATAAACACATATAGATAACATATAAATTTACGGGGTAAAGCATAAGTGGCGATGACGTTTGTCTGACGGGATAAACTAGTTATAAATGCTGATCCTCATCAAAACGCCAGTAATAATAGACGCGACTCTGAGGAGATGTTTATTACTTATCACTACACTAATTATGTTTACACATTAGCATTAATATTTTTTTTCCATTATTAGTCCTTTCATTGTTGTTAGCATATTTTTAATTTGTTGAATGGTTTTTTGTTTTACAAGTTGTTGACTGGTTATGTATTTCTTGTATATTTTAGTTCATATTGGTATTTATAAAACAATTTTTATATTTTTTATTTATATATATATATATTTTATTATTGTTTGTTTTTATTTTTTTTAATTTTTACTTTTATTATTATTATTATTTTTTTTTTTTATTGTTATTATGGTTGAGTACTGTTTTGGTTGTATAGCTTGTCTTACTTATTTTTAAATATTCCTCTATTAATCTTTATTTTTGTCTTGACAACTGTCAAAATATGCTTTGTCTAATAAATAATTCTCCTTTATTCTAATGTACTTCATTTCTTCCCTCAGGCGTTCACTGCTCGTGTGTGACCATTCGGCGAATTTTATATGCCAAAGTTTTTAAATAAATTAATATAAGATTTTCCTGATTTTTCAGGATAACAGAGGGAACTTTAAGGCTGTTCAACCTTCGCTTAATTTGTCTGAAAAGAAAAAATCTTCCATCCCTTTGAGGAAACTTAAGGTACTTCTTTATTTATATTTATTCTTTGTATGTAAAGTTTTTAATAATTTTTTATTATTGTATTCTTTTAAAAATGTAATTTTAGTTTTTAATAAAAAATGTCTGTTTAGTAATAAGTTTTTTTTTATTAATAAATGTTTTGACATTCAAGTTTTATTCATTTTTTTTTTAAAAGATTTTGCGAATAAAAAATTAAATTGGAATATATTTTTTGGTAGTAAATAATTTTGCTATAGTAGTTTATATCCATTATATAATATAATATATAAATATATTTGCTATAATAATAAATAATTTTGGTATAATGATTTCACGCGATAAATAGAATTTTGCTGCTCTTTATTAACAATATATTTTTCAAATGCAGAAGATTAAACAAAAAAGAAGTTTAAAAATTATCTTTAATAAAAGAAAACTAACAAGTTGTAACAGTTTTGAAAAGTTTATATAAGAAATATGTTTATAAAAAACCTTTTTTAAGCTTTTTAATCCAGAGTTTTAAAAGTATTTATACTTTACTTTTACTTTTCTAAAATCTTATATTGTGATCTTTATTAAACTAATATTAGATTTTCCTGATTTTCAGGATAGCAGAAAAAGCTTTATGACTGTTCAACCTTTGCTTGAATTGTCTCAAAAGAAAAGTTCTTCTATCCCTTTAAGGAAACTCAAGGTACTTCTTTATTTATATTTATTCTTTGTATGTAAAGTTTTAAAAAATTGCAATTTTTTATTATTTCATTATTTTAAAAATGTAGTTTTAGTTTTCAATAAAAATTGTCTGTTTAGTAATACGTTTTGTTTTATTAATGTTTTATGATTGAAATTTTTAAATTTTTTTGAAGTGTTCAATAATAAAAAATAGAATTGGAATATATATTTTTGGTTGTAAACATTTTTGGAAGAGTAATTTTACTTGTTTAACAGATTTTAGTTGCTCAAGGAGCTGCTATTTTTTCAACGTTAATTGTATTTTAATTTTAAGTTAAAAAACTCAAATTTTTGGTTGCTTTTCGTTTTTTTGTTTGTGTAACTATGATAATTTTTTTTTTTTTTATGTATGCATTTCTCAAATATTAATTTTTGCTATGAGATTATTGTTCTCCTAGTCCTATTCTCATGACAAGAAACATTAATCTGCTCCTGTTCAAATGATGCTTTTTAAAATATTTCATGCAATTGTATTTGTTTCTATTGATTTGATTATTTTCTATTTAGTTTTATAGTTAAATTTTACTTTGTTTTAAATCAGTTTTTCTTTAAATGATTTATGTTTGACTAATACTGTATTAAAGACAAAACATTTTAGTTTTATTATTAAAACAGATTAAAAATGTAATTTTAAGTATTTTATGATATAATGCTTAGGGGCTTTCTTTTCAAGTAAAATATTAGTTTCAAGATTTTTTTTAAATTTATGTACACTCCCTGCATGTTCTCCCTCACAATATTAGTCAATGTACATATACTCCCTTCATGTTGCACTTATTCAATTCGTTTGATATTCTGAATTTATACAATAAAATAAAATTAAATTTTTTTAAAAGTTTTTTGTAACTTAAAAATATTGCTGAAGTAAAGCAGTTGCTTAAATGTAGTATAATATAAATTGTTTAAAGGTGTCCAGGCGTTGAATTGGACTTTTTTTTTTTATTATCTTTTAAGTCTCTTTTTTTTACAACACAAAAAGTATATCATGTTGGTTTTTAAAAGAAACAAAAGTATATAAAAAAATTATAAATAATACTTATTTTATATACAGATTGTTATTTTAGCTTTTATTGCATAAAAACTATGGTTTTTTATCAAAAAATAAAATGGTTTCCCTCAGTTTCATTATTGATATATTTTTTTAAATATGATTAACTTTTTTGAGTTTTATATAATTTGGGTTCTTTTGAGACCCACCATGTTTTTAAAGAAATTTTTTAAAATAATATAAGAAGTTTGTCTGGCGTTTAAGGGTCTTGAGCGACTCCTAAAAATATTTTTTATTTAAAACTTTTTTGAATCCAGTGTTACTCTATTTTAAAAAACCATTTTTTTAAATTCTGTTTATTGCCAAAAAGGCTGCAAGCAGCCACTAATAAGTTGGGAGTTACTAGGAAAAAAAGGGATAGAGTTAAAGAGCGAGGAAACAGTTGACAGAAGACTTGAAAAGTTGTTTCAGTCAGGAAAACACGAAAATAAAAGAGAGAGTTCTAAATGGTTGAAATGTGGGGGAATTTTTAGAGCATGCAGGGACAGATTCAGTTAAGGTATGAGACTTTGCTAAATGTCGAGTCAAACATGAATGAGTTTTGGTTGATGGAACTATAGAAGATTTTCTTTTCCTAAAAATGCTATAATGGTTGCTGCTCAAAAAGCACCTTTGAAAAAAACAGGTTGCACTGGGTTTCATGTTTTTTTCTCTATATTCTCTTTGTTATTTTGGACCAAAATAGGCATTAAAGGTAGCAAACTGTTGTTTATCTATTTGTTTAGATGTATGGGGACCTAAATAGCTTTTGATTATTTGAATAAGATCACTTGTGTTATAACTGTTTTGAGGGCAGATTTTTTTTACTTTACATAAAAATCCTTTAAAGATGCCAGTGAATATGTGTGGGTTGATGTTAGAGCTTGGTTTTATTTGAACATTGGTTATGCATCCTTACAGTGCATTTGAAACTCTTAAAATCCACTTGTTGTATTTGTAATACAAATATCTAAAAAATTCAGTTGTTTTTAAATTCAACAGAATATTTTATGGAGGGATTTTACTCATTTAAAGTTTTAAGAAATATTTATTGTTTTTCTTTCATATCGAAGATAGCATCCACATATCTTTTGTAGGTTATTGGTTAAGACTTTATTATAGGCTCTTTTTTCAATATTCTGCAAAAATATCTCAGCTATTACTACCATCATTGATAAACCCATTGGAATTATTTAAATCTGATTTTATTTTCGTATAAAAAATATTAATTGCTAAAGTTCATTTAACTGGTGTATTTCTACCAGAGTTAATTTAGTCCTAGTTTTTAAAACAAAAGTTAATGAATTAATTAGTCGAATTAGATTTTCATTTAATGTTGGTTGAATAACTTTTACCAGATACTCTGATGTTCCATTGGTATGAACACTACCACTAAACCACTACTGCAGAGTGCTTGCCTCATAAGCAAAAAGTTCTGAGTTCAATCCATACCTTGCCTCTTATAGTACCGCTCTCAACTTGTTTTTTTATGCACAGCGGCCTTGGTTTTCAACTGGGCCCTCCTCCTTATCAATCAGCTTTTAAAAATTTGGGTACAGTGAGGAACTTGCATAACATCCAAGTATAAAACCAACATAACAATCATAAATGCAAGATAATTTGATACAATCCTCCTTTCAGTGCAAATGTTAAAACAAATTTAGACAAATGTTTTTTAAACCTCATTGACCTCCACTTTCTAGTTAACACAGGCTCCATAAAATATTTGATAGAAACTAAATCAAAACAAGTTGTTCTTGCATTTCAAACATGAAATTCAATTATTAAATCTCACAATTAAAAAAAAACTGTATGAAGAGGGAGGTATTCAAGAAAAAATTTGCAAACTACATTGACAAATTCAAATATCTCATGAAAAACTATTGCCTGTCTAATAACATTGTTTATCAAGCTGCCATTAAAACAAACAAAGAATTTAAAGATAAAGTATATTTTGAAGTCAGTGAAACATCTTTTAAACTTCAGTATATAAACCATTTGAAATCTTATAATAATATTTGGTTTGAGAATAAACTATGGCATTATGGTAATTAAAAGGGAAAATTTTTATACCTTTCATTAAATGAAAAATTATTAATCAATGTAAACTATGCAATCCAGCATCAAAGGTTTTCAATCTCTTTTTTACTGAGAAGTGTCAAATTTTTCTATACAAAGTAGAAAATCTAATAAATACAAGTATCAAAATAATTTTAAAGTGCTCAAAAAAAAAATTTTCCTATCCTCATTCAATACCAGAGATTAATCCTAAATCATTTATGCCAAATGATAATATACTATTGTCTATACTTTCAAAACTATTTAACAAGTGCTTATCAGAGTCTTGTTTTCCAGCCTGCTGGAAAGCGGCATCTCTTACCCCTATTTTCACAATTTCTGGAGAGCAATCTGATTGGTCTAACTACTATCACATTAGTCTTGTTCTTATCATAAGCAAGGTTTTTGAATCTGTAATTAACAAACACTTAATCTCTCATCTTAAATCTAATAATTTACTTTCTGATCATCAGTATGGATTCTAATCTTCTTGTTCTACCGCTGATTTGCTAATAGTAATAACCAATAGGTTTTATCGTGCATTAGATAGATGTAGAGAGGTTAAGAGTCTCAACAATTCTAAAGCTTTTGATAATGTTTGGCATGCTGTTCTTCTCCATAAGTTTTCTTTTTATGGTGTATCAGGTAACATTTAAAATTATTGAATTCTTCTCTTCTAATCGTAGTATAAAAGATGCCCTCGATGGACAGCACTCTTCTTCACATTCTGTAACTTCAGGGGTTCCTTAAAGTTTTATCTTTGGCCCTATACTCTTTTTAATTTAATCTAAGGTGGCCTTGTTTGCTGATGATACTACCATTTATTATTGTCTTGATAAGAAACCAACACTTTCTGATTTTGGGGGCATTTAAGCTTGAAAAGGATCTCACTTCTGCTACAGCATGGGGCTCACAGTGGCTGGTGAACCATAATTCAGATAAAACTCAATTTTTTTTCAGCCAATCGTTATTGCAATAATTTAAATCTTCCTTTATTTATGAATGGTAATGTACTCGATGAGTCATCTACCCTTCATCTTCTAGGATTAACTCTTACTTCCGATCTTTTTTGGAAACTATATCAAATTGATTGCAAAATCAGCATCTGCTAAGATTGCATCTTTTTATTGTGCTTGACACTTTCTTACTTTTATTCTATACTTTATCTCTATAAATCTCAAATCCTTCCTTGTATTAAATACTGTTACCATATCTGGCGCGGATCTTCTCATGATACCCTTTCTCTTTTAGACAAGGTGCAAAAATGCATTGTAAACATAGTTGGACCTGCTCTTGCAGCCAACCTCCAACCATTATCACATCATCGTAGTGTTGCTTCTCTTTCTCTTTTCTATTAATACTATTCCGGGCAATGCTCTAAAGAACTAGTGTCTCTCGCGCAATCTACCAAAATTCATTCTCGTGTTACTCGTCATTCAATCAAGTCTCATCTTTTTACTGTGACTGTTCCTAAGTACTCCAAAAACTCTTGTTCGTTTTTTTCAGGAAATCAAGGTTAAGAAATAAAAGTACAAAGAACATAAGTTCTTTGTACTTTTCTTTCTTAATCTTGCTTTCCTGATTCATATAGTTTGCAATCTTTTATAGAGCAAGATAACAATTGATTGAGTCATCAATTGTTATCTTGCTCTATAAACGTCATCTTTTCTCTTCCAGTAACTTCCATTTCTAATTGTAGTTGCTTGCAGCTTTGTTGGAAACAAAGATGTTAAAAAAAATAAAGAAAGAAAAGTCATATTTGACAAAGACTGTATAGTTTGTATATTTATGACAAAAAATAAAGTTCGTATACTCTAAGTTTGAATGGTCTACAGAACAAAAAGGTTTCAAAACAATAGATAATCTGTTTACTATCCATCTGGCATAATAATAGGCACCTGGAGGACTGATAAGAAATACATCATTTCACACAATGTGAATAAAGTCAATCAGATGAGCTCCAGGCTTCTCCAGGGTTAACCATGCTAGCTAAAAAAATAACAAAAAAATAAATGTTTATATTAGAATTTTGATTTAAATTTTGTTTATTAAATTCAATTTAAATAATAATATCCGCATTTTTATTTTTAATTAATTGGTTGTTTTAAAAACAATCGGGAATATCTTTTATTGGATAAAAGAAATTGCGTAATTTATTTTATCCAATCAGCTACATTCATGTACAGGTCTGGCTCACTTTTTTGTGTTTATATTTAAAAAAACCGTCTCACCTGAGTGGGATTCCACTAAAATAAAGCAAGATCTCAGTTATTCGGACTGTTTGTCATGTAAACAAGTTTCATTTTTATAGGTAAATATCAAACATGGCAAGATCTTTCTTAAGTGAGTTAGCCTATAATTATCTGGGTGCTAACCCAGTTAGCTGGATTGGCACCAAGTTAACTAGGCTTGCC